CGGCAGAAGAATTCGTTCTGCCGTGTTTCAAATCTGATTTGTGCTCGCGAATTCGGTTAGAGACATGTCGTTTCGTCTCCCCGATATAGCAGTCACCACAGGTGCAGATCAATTTGTAAACTCCGGGGTACTGTAAGTCAGGAATTACATCCTTCACGGAAGGGATCAGGTCACGGATTTTGTGTACTGTATTGAACCGGACCAGGATCTTGTGTTTGTTTAGAATTTTGGAGATCTTTTTAGTAACGCCTGCTATATATGGCAGTGTGATGGTTTTGATCGGAGTATCAAGTGGTTGTTTCTGTATGGAGGGAGAAACAGCTTGGCGGATGGTACGGTCAGAGTATCCATTCCTTTTTAGGGCCAGATGTACATGTTTTAATTCACTGGTCAGGTGGTGTTGGTCCGAAATGCAATGAGCCCTGTGGTATAACGTTTTGATGAGATAATTATTTTGCGTCGGGTGGTGGTGGGAATCAGGTTTCAAGTAGGAATCTGTGTGGGTGGTTTTCCTGTAGACAGAATGTCCCAATGAGCCATCAGGTCTCCTCTCAAACAGAACATCCAAGAATGGCAGCTTGCCATCTTTCTCCACTTCCATGGTGAATTTGATGGCGGGGTGTCTGGAATTAATGTGGTCTAGGAAAAGGTTAAAAGCCGGGAGGCCATGTGGCCAAATGACGAAAGTGTCGTCTACATATCTCTTCCACAGGGAAGGTCTGAGGGTGGAAGTCTGGATGACGTCTGATTCAAATTTCTCCATGAAAATATTGGCTATCACTGGTGACAAGGGGGATCCCATGGGGGTACCCTCATTTTGTTTGTAGAAGGAGCCATTCCAAGTAAAGTAGGTATTGTTGAGGCAGTGCCTAACCAGTGCAGGTGTATCGGGGTCTAGTCCATGTTGGACCAAATTTTCAATTATTTCAATGGTATCAGGTACTGGGACCTTGGTGAACAAAGAGACCACATCGAAGCTGACAAGGATATCGTCAGGGGACAGTACAACGTATTTGACCATAGAGATCAATTGGGCTGAGTTAAGTACTGCTGAGGCGGTCTTGCCAATGAAAGGCAGCAAGGTATCTGACAGAAAACGGGCTAGTCTATAGGTAGGGGAGTTGATCGTGGATACGATGGGTCGTAGTGGGGTGCCTTCTTTATGAATCTTGGGAAGACCATAGAATCTAGGGGGTCTTGCAGCAGAAGGTTTTAGGGAGGGACGTTTAGTTGGGTCGATTAGGGAGGTCGAACTTGTGATGATCTTGTTGGTTTTTTTATCTCCTAGATTATTAGTAGGGTCATTTTTTAAAATTTTGAGTAACTTCCATCGTTGAGCAGATTCTGGATTTTGTTGTTGTATGAATCTTTATCCATAATTACAGTAGCGTTGCCTTTATCGGCTGAGAGGATGACTATATCGCTTCTGTTTTTTTAAATTCGCGAGTTCAGAGCGTTCATTTTTGCTGATGTTACTAATGGGTTTCTTAGCATTCTTAATAATAGTGGCTATTTCAGCTCTCGCAACGTCTGCTTGGATGTGTCCTACGCCTTTGAGGGCTACATCGACCTGAGAGATGATATCATCTACTGGTATGTGTTTTGGGGTGACAGCAAAATTCAGCCCCCTAGCCAGTACTGTTTTCAGATTGTCCGAGTTTGTTTAGCCAGCTGTGTGGTTGGTGAGTCATTTCGGAAAATTTGGACCATGACACCAGCACACACGTGGACTACTTCTTCTCTTCATTTGATATCGCAGGATCTTTCATGTCCACAGTGAAGCAGACGGTACGCATTTGGGAGTTATTGATAAACCCGCGGTATTAACCAGGACGGCCGGTGGGCTCGAACCCGCGAACCTTCACGACAAACTCTCTGCCTCTCGGCTGTGTCACCACCAATTATTAAGGCCTGTTATTAATTCGCAGGCCTGGATGCTTTGAATGTCATTTTCTGCGCCGGTGCAGACACCAGCGTTTTTTTTTCTATTGCAGTGATCATGTTTCAGGAGAACCAATGCGTTTGCACTAAGTTATTATAAATAGCACCTCGGCGTGCGCAAATGTGAGTTTAAAACTCTCCGCGTGTTGCAACGTAGTCGTGAGTTACACTGCAGCAGGGACGTGTCTGTATGGCGGCCAGCATTTGTAACACATGACACGTGTTGTATTTAAAGAGGTGTCTAAATGTGTGCTTAACGTGGGTTGGGTGTTTGTGTACGTCAAGCGTGTGTGCCTGGTCAGCCCTTCAGTCGGGTGGTCGGTCGGGAGTTGGCTACCTGCTTGCTGGCTTGCGTGCGTTTTCATCCAAACTGCATTGTTCCCCTAAAAAGTGATGGCCTTCACGGATGAAATAAATTAATAAATGCTTAAATGTCAAAACATTATCTTTAACGCCCACCCTGCAGGAAAGCACAAACCGTCTTGGCGAGCTTACACCAGTGGTTTAAAAAAAGTATTTATATTTCAATGAGACCCCTGTACAGAGCGCAAACCACGACGCAGGGAGGGGGTACAGAAACCTAGGTCGCGGACTTCTGTGCTCCTGGGTTTCGAGCGTACACCAGTGTTATGCAACTGTTTTTGGCTTAAGGAGAGAAGCACAGGTAATTAAATGCTCCCTGGTCCACATTCAGCCTGCACAAAGAGCGACATTCCTGTTCACGTCCTTGACTTTCCCTGTGATTTTATGATTTTTGGATGACTGGCTGTGAGGATGTGTTAAATCACTACTGTGTATATGTGTGTGTGTGTTCTTGCCATTGGAGAGACAAAGGCGGCCGGGTGTGGTGTTGGCCAGCCATCCCCCTCGTGTGCCGTGCCGGCCTTCATAGGTGCTCGCTAACAGCACTTGCCCCTACAGTCTGTTACAGGCTATAAGGGGGATCTTTGTCTTTGTTCTTGCCTATGACCGGTGACCCAAAATGTTCCAAATCTCAGCAAATCTCAGAATCTTAATAAGCCTGGACAGTGCTTTGATTGATGACCACCAGGCAGATATTAGAGTGGGATGGGTGGCTGTGGAGCTGTGTTACATGGCGGTTAGCAGACAGGAGTGCACTAAAATCCATTGTTGTACTGTACTTTTACGCTCCCACGTGTATACTCACCGCCTTTACAAGACAAAGATCCCCCGTATAGACTGTTGGGGCAAGTGCTGTTAGCGAGCACCTATGAAGGCCAGAACGGCACACGAGGCGTTGGGTGGCCAGTACCATGCCCGACTGCCTTTGTCTCCCTAGTGGCAATGTTTACACACCGCACCAGGTACTCATTTAAGGCTGAGTTGAACTAGGGGAGGCCCAGGACCGGTTCAGATTATCGTCACTGGTGTTGGCCGTGAGCGCAGCGCACTAACTGCTACACTACCGCTACACTGCCTTTACCAATCCCTACTGACCAGCATGGTGAAGTATGGTTAAATAACGTCATGACCTTCACAGCGTGCGAAGGACTTCATCCAGCAGTAACTTAAAAAAAAAGTTGTATATATATTTTTTGGATCATAATCTGCTTTACGTAATGGTGGTTATTGGAATTGTGGTGTGTGCATAATATAGGTAATAAATTCTGACCTTGAATGCACTCTATCTCATTGGATCTCACAAGCTAAACGGTGTCTAGACTGGGAAACTGCTTGGGAATACCAAGTGCTGGAGGCTTGTGCTGTGAGGCAGCACAGAAATTGTTTCTGTAATCCATGTGGAGCTTTTAGTGTCATACCCCTTTCGTACGTGAAGCGCATTTTCCCCACAGGCTAAACTTTCACGAATGGATTTGGCCATTATCCCAATGCTTGAGACTTGGTGAGGCCTTCCCGGGGAAGTAGATGGTGACCGGTTAACTGATCGCTCAATTTTGATTTAAAGCTTTCGTGACTGCAGTAATTCATATTCTTAGTTTTTTCGGTAAAGTCACGTTGAAGAGAAACAACAAAATAACAAAATATATATAAAACAATAAAAAATTCTCACGACGTTTCGACCATAACTCAAACGGTCATCATCAGGTGTGTCGGTTTGCATAAATTTAGCCGTTTTCAAAATAAATTTATGCAAACCGACACACCTGATGATGACCGTTTGAGTTATGGTCGAAACGTCGTGAGAATTTTTTATTGTTTTATATATATTTTGTTATTTTGTTGTTTCTCTTCAACGTGACTTTACCGAAAAAACTAAGAATATGATCGCTCAATCTTAAGGTTGTGAGTTCAACACCAATTCGGGGGCTCGACTCATCTCACAGTCCCTTTGAGTTCAGTGAAATAATCGCCAGCAGTGGTTGTGCTGTGGATGATGGGTTTCCTCTTTTGGCTGCCACTCATTCACACCGGCGTCATCTTATCAGCCATCATCTCTTCTAGCGACCTGTGCTAGCCAAGCTCACTTGTGGATGTGTAAACTTTGACTTTAACATAGCTATTTCTGTGACCAGTCACAAGCTAATCCCTCAGCTATTTCAATGCCAAATTCTCCTGTTTGATATGTAAACTCCTTTGTCAAGGTGCCTCACTTATCTCACCCAGCTTAAAAGACGCCACGAATCTTAGCAGCGTTCATGGAAGCTCTGTCGTCCCGACAGTTCTGTTCCTTCACCTGAAGAAGGCTACTTGTGTTGTGGCCGAAACGTCGTGATTTTTGTTTTATTTTTTACCTACGTGACTTTACTGAATAGATCCAAAGCGTATGGATCCTTGCAGTCACGAAAGCTTCAAATGTAGAAGCTCACTTAACTTTCCTTGACACTCGGTGTGATGTATCTGACTTCCGTTTGTTCTCTGATCCACGTTCTCCTCTCGCTGTTTCTCATTTGTAATTCCAAGCACACACAAACACACCCCACCACGCTTCCGTTTTTGTTTTCTCTGTCCACCTTTGCAGGCGATGCCTGACGCAGCGTTGCCGTCGGTGCCTTTTAAATAGTTCCGTGAACAGAAACGCACATCGCAAAGCTTTGTGTAAACTCATGCATGCGCTTGACCGTTCTTCCCCATTTCAGGAGATACTGCGCGTGGGAGACACGAACCAAGATGGGCAGCTCGACTTTGAGGAGTTTGTGCGGTACGTCAAGCAGCACGAGAAGAAGCTGTGGCTCACGTTCAAGAGCTTGGACCGGAATAACGATGGTACGTGGCGGTTCGTGCCGTGTCTCCACGTTCACATTAGGGCGCCGCGGTGGCGAGATGTTAACTACCTCGCCTGGTATGCAGGAGGTCGTGAGATTGATCCCGACCCTGACACCTGTATATTTGGAGATTGCGTGTCTCTCTTCCCGTAGTCACGTGGATTTTTCTCCGGGTCCTTCGGTTTGTCCCTTCACATTTAGAATCAACGTGCGTTTAGAGTATTTGGCTACTATTCATTTCCACGTAAAGCCACTTTGTAGAGCTATCATTTGTGATAGCCAGGTCGCTTCTGAAATAAAGCCGTACAGCTCAGTGGGAATTACCTGATAAAATAAAATACAAAGTTTAGATTAATAGTCACACGAGCGTTGAGTGTCGCTCGTTTCTGCTTGTGCTCGTATGAGCAAGGATATGCTCCGATTTACTTTCGATGGTACCTGTGATCACTGTTGAATCAACGTTGACGTATCTGTCCATATTTCCTGTCTTTCCGTCTGTAACGTGGGGTCACGATAACAGTTACAGGTGATCCAAAGTAAAATCAACGTTCGTGTAAAGTTGTGTTGTTATGAAGGCCTTGCCCTATAGGAAACGGGCCAAATTGCCCAAAAAGCGTTGCCTAAAAACATAGTGACCAAAAGCAGTGTTCATTGGATTATTCTTGGTGGTCTTGAGGCGTTGGCGGAGATCCAACATTCCTATGACAAGCCTTATAACCGAATCGCTCAGAATGTGCCCGAGCTCATCAGATCCCGGACGCTAAGCAGGGTTGAGTCTGGATAGTGCTTGTGTGAGCTTACAACTCTGCATGTCACAGTTGTCATAGGCTGCTGTTGGGCTACATAGTGGGCAGCAATGAGGCAGTGGAGAAAAACACATTGTTGTCCTGCCACGTATATGCTTCCTCACCGTCGCCAACCCTCACTGGCTTAATGTGGTGAAGTATGGTCAAACAACCGCGCCCATGATCCACGTGGTGTATTTTTCTATGTAGGTGAGGTGATGATTCCTGATATATCGAACTCCTTATCAGGCGACAATGTCCACGTTTTCTGACCCGTATTTCAGAGCAGGTAAATGTGCTCCGGATTAAAAACGTTTCTTCTTTAGACACAGTGGTGTGTCGCGTATCACGAGTAAGTTTTTGTTCGCCACGGAGACGGAGCGGTGAAATCAGCTGGTGCGCTGTGAGAGCTGGTGGCGGCTGTTGGGGAGGCCTTCATGCGGCAGTGTGTACATCGCGGGAGATGAAGAAGCTCGCACGCGAATACACGCGCGAGGCGAAACCCAACGCAAACGATACCCGAGTAACACAACGGTTTACAATGCCACTATCAATAATTTAATAACGTGCAATTCTATGCCGGTTGTTACTTCTTCCATTCAAGGTCTCTCAAACACTCCGCCACACGTAATGATCGTAACCTGACCCGCTAGTGTTCAGCATTTATACGCAGGCTTGGTTACGCACACACGAAAGGCCCTCGGTCATTCCACTGTTGTATGAGGTTCTTCTCACACCGCATGGATTTTGGGTTTTTTTTGTCATACTTCACTACGCTGGTCAGTGTTGGTTTAGTAAACGCAGGGGGAGAGGGGGGTATAGCAGTGAAGTGTAATGATTTCATTACACAGGCTTGGCACATAGACTAAAAGCTCTTCTTTGTTAAGCAGTGCCCGCTGAATTCCTCTGTTTAACCAAACATAGACTGGTAGCCGTATAAATCGTTTGTTTAATAGCCAAACAATGAGGGTAGGGTGGTCTTTCTGATAAGCGGTGGATGGGTAGTGCACGCCTGTTCCAGGCCGACCAGCAGTGAACAAAGGTCAGAGGCTGTGACAGGGGCCACAGTGTCGACTTTGAAAGCAGACACACTGTGATAATGAAATATTCACCGTTGGTTACAGATTGTTTTTCAGTTGCTTAATGCACACTCTAGAACACTGTATCGAGCTGGAAGCCAAATAGCTGATGGAAAACTGTCCACTTGTTTTACTATCATTATTATCATCATCATCAGGCATGGTCTATCCACTGCTGGGTGGAAGCCTCCCTGCACTGTTACCATACCTCACGTGGCCTGCGATAACACGTTCCCGTCTCACTGGTACGCGCGAACCGATCTCATCGCTCCGTATACAATCCACCTGTAATGGTCGCACTAGGTATACATTCTGATGTGTTCTCTGTTCGTCAATTATTATTCTTTGTGAAGTGAAAGAGTTGGACCTGACTTTAGCTTCATTCTTTTATCTTGAACCCGACTCCTTACAGCCTTCTTTGTTAAGGTGTTCAATCACTCCCTGCGGTGACGATATGATCTGCAGATCTAACGCGACTCGAATCAGAAGAGGCGCAAGACAAGGAGAAGAGCTCTCTCCGCCAAAGATATTTGGAGCGACGTTCAAAAGTGCTTTCTGAAAATTAGTTCGGAGAAATAAAAGTGTCAACACAAATTAGGAACACACTGGTTCTCATCCGAAAGTAAATAAACGTAACTTCTGTATGCGTATAACGCATGGGACCAAATCACCCATAAAACCTTCCCATTTCGTCGGCTCTCTGAAGTTAATCAGATTTGAGCCTGGGTAAGTGTTTTGATGGCTGACCGCCATGCACAACACAGGTACTATAGGCTGTGTGGCTATGTTCGTGGGCAGCAGAGGGCAGCAGAGCAAAATCCATTATACTCTACTTGTAAGTTTCCACGTCTATGGGCCCCACCTTCGCAAACTCGCACTGACCAGCGCGGTAACGTATGGTCAAGTACCGCCCTTGACCTGCAACGGCGTGGGGATGCTCTCATCCAGCAGTGGGTTGGCTGTGCGTGCATGCGTGTGTGTGCAATGCAGCTGGGATTCTCACCATCGTGATTCTTTTTGCAGGTGAGATCGACGCGTCTGAAATTATGCAATCCCTGTCAAGCCTGGGTGTGACGGTCAACCTGCAGCAAGCGGAGAAGATACTGAGAAGGTGAGAGAGAGGCATTGTCCCGAGGTGCTTGGCGAGTGGTGGAGGCGCCACCGTGGTGGCTAGGAGGTGTTAACTACCTCGCCTGGTGTACAGGAGGTCGTGGCTTCGATCCCAACCCTGACGCCTGCTGCTGTATATTTGGGGTTTGTGCGTCTGTCTCCCCGTGGTCACGTGGATTTTTCTCCAGGCCCTCCGGTTTTTCCTTGCACTTTTAGAAACACGGATTTTAGAGGATTTAGCTGATAGAATTTCCATGCGATAAGCCACTTCTTGAGCGATCATTTGTGGCCAGCTGTATAGCTCAGTGGGCTTTAACCAGTAAAATAAAAAAAAATCTTTAGTTTAGTTATCGCGTGCTCCGCTGTGTACTTAGTTACCTGAGTTCATTTGCCAGCACATGGCTAACATCAGTGGCGAGTGATATCTTAACCAGTTCTAGGTACCCCTTCACCAACCTGCCAGAGAAAAAAAGCATGGACAATGCAGTGCCCTTGGGGCCTGGCCAGTGTAGTGATACCAATCGCATCACTCTATTTTTTCCGCGCAGCCTGCAATTCCAACGTTTACTTGATTTCCGCCGATCCCACGATCACCTTGAGAATAAGTATTTGATTCCAAGCATGGAATCTCGCTTCTCCGTAAGGAGGGCGATAATTGCCCACTGCCATCGTCAAATATCTGCAGTAGATTCCACGCGCATTTGTCAATGAGCATACATTGGTTGGTAGCGGCGGTGCAGTGGTTCGCGCTCTGCTCTGCGATCCCAGTGACCTTCGATTCGTGAGTGATGTCAGAACTGATTTTACCGCCTTCCCCACCTTCTCTCCTTCAACAACCCACACTGACCAGCGTGATGTAGTACGGTCTAACAACGCCCATAACTGACACGGTGTGTGCGGGGGACTTAATGTGGCCGTATTGTTTTTGAGGTGACTGCATTACATCTTCATGTGTGTGGTGGTAATGTGTTCATGTGTGCAGTCAATCCATTATGCATGTAGCTGTCGGCATGGTAGCCTGGATCAAAAGATATCAGCTGTTGACAGGTATTGGCCATGAATGACTAAGGTGACCTATGAATAAATATTATACACTGACAAAGGGAAAGTGTATGCATCAAATGTATTTTTTAGAACTTGATGATTGATATAACAATAAAATGTATAATACAGGGTGTACAACACATTCCTGCGGAGGGAGCTGGTAGGAACGTTGGGTTGCTCGGTCAATGGCCAGGGTCAATGGCGGCGTGGTGTATTCCGCAAATATGCGACGGGCACAAGCCGGCGTGAGTAGGTTAAACGTTGAGTTTTATAAGGGCACCACGGGGTGACCAGCCCCTCCCCACCCAGCACCACCCTCCCCACCCAGCCCCTCCCCACCCTCCCCTCTCCACCCAGCCTCACCCCTCCCATTTTTTGATGCACGACGGACGGACACAATAATCCCCTGTGGGCTGGTGTAACCAGGAGGTTCCTACCAGTATTATGTTTGCTAGTTGGTGACAATCTATTGTTGCGTTCTATATTACAAGAAAATCACTTGCAAAGTCATACACTTTTCTGTATTGACGACTTTTTATTGGAATACTGAGATTAAACAATACATTAGTGTCAATATTTAACTTATTTGTGGTTGGGTGGTGGGCACTTGTGTCTACGCATTGCACTACCAGCCCGGTGACCCGAGTTCTATCCCGGCCACGGTTAACGACAGTGGTGGGGGATATCCGAACGGACTGTTACCTTTTTCGATTTAAAGCTTTCGTGACTGTCGTCCTGACAGTTCTGTTCTTTCACCTGATGAAGGCTGCTTGTGTTGTGGCTGAAACGTCGTGAGAATTTTATTGTCTTATTTTATTTTATTATTTTTTTCTCATTCTACGTGACTTTACCGAAAGAACCAAAGAAGGACTGTTACCTGGTTATGGGCAAAAATGTGCACGTGTGCGCACCGTGTGTTTTTTTTGTACGTTTGTACGTGACTTACCCTGTCTGGCGCACGCGCGTGCGATTGCGTCTGGCTGGCAGCATGGACAAGGACGGCACCATGACGGTGGACTGGAACGAGTGGCGCGACTACCACTACCTGAACCCCGTTACGAACATGAGCGAGATCATCCTCTACTGGAGGCACACCATGGTACGCGTGTGTTCATCATGTGACTTTGTGATGCTATTTTATTATTCACAATCGAGATTTTTGCGTGAGATCGCGTCAATATAAGTGTGTCGTTAAACCCGCCGCCACCCGACACGGCCGACTAGTAAAGTTTGTCACGTGAACAAAACGTGCCAATCCGTTACTTGTTCAGCACACCGGTGTGTTGGAGAGTAAACCCACAACATTTACAATTCGAGTAACGACGTTTCACCAGTAATTAGAACGAGCATCATCAGCCAGATTTGGCCATTGTGGGTTTAATCTCCAACCGGTGTGCTGTACTAGTAACGAATTGGCATGTTTTGTTTATATGACAAGCCCTTATTATTTGGCTGTGTCAGGTGGTGGCGGGTTTAACGACACATATATTTACACGATCTAACCCAAAAACCTCTATGGATAATATTGGTTTGCGAAAGCCTATGTGTTAAACTGACTTTTTTTTTCAAAATGAAAGCTATTGTGTAAGAATTTCCGCGAGCCCGTTACTGCCAGTCACGCGTTGCGGTTGGAGGATCTCCCATCGCATAGAGCCGACCCGACGTGACTCAACTATGTACCGGAGGTAGGGGGGAGTGGGACAAATGAGAGGTGTGGGAGAGTGGGCCTCATTGCCCCAGCAGATGGGTCCTAGTGGTTTCTGTCAAACCGAGCCGGAGAACAAACCGTAATCCGCCTCGCAAGACGTCTGAAACGGGCTTGGGGGGCCAAGCGGCACCAGGGGGCGGGGATGCTATCATTGAGTGCAACTGAAGACTCTCACCGCGTCGCCTGCATGCGTCTCAACTCGCACTTTGCGCGTGACATCGGCGGCACGTGATGATACGCCTCGGCTTCTACGGTGGAAAAAAACAATCCTGTTGCACAGGGGTAAATAGGTATTTTGTGCACTGTGCTACACTTGGAATGCTTGTATTGGAGGCTGTCTGGTGTTGCAGCCTTGGGCTGCAAGGTGGCCAACAGATGGCAGAGCATCTGTGTGGAGGTGTTATCCTCTCTCATTCACGGGTTTTCTTCGGGTGCACCTTTTTTTTCTCCCATATGAAGCCAATCATCAATGGAATTGGCCAAATCGGTGATGCTCACCTGGTTAAATAAAGGGCATTGCAATTATATATGCTCGCTAACAAATATTGCCCCCACCAATGACACTGTATGAAGTTACACGGGGGGAGGGGAGGGGGGGATCTTGCAGTAGGCGTCAGTCATTGTGAACGGGTTGCAGGCAAATATAATTTACAACCTTGGCAGCGAATTGCAATGTCAAAGTTACGATGCAGAGATGTGCAGCGCACGGCGATGACGCACGCGGTTTGGTTTAATCAGAATTATTTTTTGGCAAAGGCTCGTGGTTATATTCCCCTTAACTCGCAACTGACTCATTCCCAACCCGCCCTCCCAACCTATCCATTTACACACCGTTATGTAATCACTCTCCCAAAGCGGCCCAACCCCTACTGTGTCGGTCGCTCACACGGGTAAAGGAGCTTCGAGTTTTATGTTTCGTGTAAGAATAAAAAATGGGGCCTAAACTTATTTTCAGTCTTACCCAGAATAAATGCCGTTCAGATTGCTTTCCAGCAGGTCAATAATGAGAGCTGTTGCTGAGGACATTTTTGAAATTGTCTTTTTGATTTCTCCTTCAAGGCTAATTTTTACCTCTTAAATTTCTCGCCGGCTCTGTAGCCAAATTTGTCGACCATCTTTTGCGGCGCTTATACAGGCGCGTGCGAGCGTTCCTTTTCTCGTGAGAATATCGCCTGGGGGAGTTGGAAACGCCATACAGTTTCAGCAGTAGATTGTTCCTCTTTGCCGAGATCAAGCCCACCTCGAGTGATCATAATATGTTGCGGAAGCATTAACACTCATCCTTAAATCCGCCTGTCTGTCCACCTAGCAATATAAATGGGTGCACTACATTTTAGTTGGTCAGTGAGTCACGCGTGGTAGATTAAAGTGTGGGTACTCCCCCCCTCCCCCCCCCTTACAAAATGTCTGGCCAGCATGGAAGAGTAGGCCAAATACCCTAAAGAGGTCCCTCTAGGTGAGGCCCTTCTGCCAAAAAAGTGGCATGAGCAAGTAATTGGCAGAACTTGTACAGTTAACTATAACTAACAAGTGTGCGCGCCTTTGAAGGGACCTTTCCTAGTATTGTTTTGATGCAATTAGACGCCCCTCCTGAGGGTTATTAGAAAGCGTGATATTCCAATCGTGACCCAGAGAGTCTAGACTGTAGAGGAATAAAAATACGCTTGGATATTCGCCCACATTCACGCAAATCTCGGGTGTTGCCCGTGAAGTCAAGCCCTGTAGAATTTATTAAATGTGATCTTGATGCGTCTTGGCGGCAAAACTGGCTTTCAATAACAGTTATAATATTTATACGTTTCACCCATGCAAAGCCTCATTGAAGGTTAAGACTCTTTCAGGAGGTACCCCGCTTTGAATTTAGTTTGGTTCTTAGAATGAAAAACCCCTGAAATTTAAACTTCTGCTAAAACTCTAATGGGGGAGGATGCCACCTCTGGTGATGCCATTGCCAGCTTCGTATGGCAGGGCAAAGAACGTTGAGTCAACTTCCCATAAAATGGTACGTATTTTATAACCCCAGATGTATGATGGGCTGAGTCAACCCCCTGACCTAGATTTGAACTCCCGGCTTTGGGAGATTGTGCATCCGGTCATTTAGTCACCGAGCTCCCGGCGCGTGGAGCGAAACGTCGGACATCATGCCGAACAGCACGCAGTACAAACGAAAAAGTCAAAACGCACCGGAGAGAAATGACATCATCATAATCATTGTAATGATAACTATTGCTTACACTTACTGTTCCAATAGATCTTGGACGTGGGCGACAGCATGGCCGTGCCGGATGAGTTCACGGAGGAGGAGCGGCGCAGCGGCACGTGGTGGCGGCAGCTGGTGGCCGGCGGTGGCGCCGGCGTGGTCTCTCGCACCTGCACGGCGCCGCTTGACCGTCTCAAGGTCATCATGCAGGTGACCTCCAGCTGCGCTGTCCATTTGACTTGACTCGGTCATCGTTGATCCGTTTCGAGCCAGTTGGCAGGATATTCGATTCATTGCTGTTTATACATCGTCCTTACTGCCATCGGCTGTCATCACAAACGTGCTATGTAATCCATTGTTCTCTATCAGGATGCTTATTTGATTTTTTCCAGTGGGCCATGTAACAATGCATGCGCTGGCAGACTAAGTGATGTCCGTATATCATTTGTACAGATGTTGTGACATCACATGGCTGCATGACAGTGGTGGTGAGTGTCCCTGCGCTCTGAACCCGGTGTCCTGATGTTCGATTCCTGGCCACGGCTGACATAAGTGGCAAGTGGATATCTGTACCGGTACTCGCATTTAATAAAACAACCTCCATGATAATGTGTGCGAAGGCCTACACGCAGCAGCGTATTGCGCATGTACAAGCACAGGCACTGTCTCCAATGATGTGCTCACCCTGCAGCACCCGTTGCTCCCTGTTTGTCTTTGTTTACTTCTGCCGATCTGCCCTCCAATAACTAGGCCGGAGCTCGCCCTCTCACATTCGGAAGTCTCTCTATCTTTATCTGCCTTCGAGTCCTCGCTCAGCCACCGTGGTGTAAAATTGCACCCCGTTTCCATATGTAATGGCAACCCAGGCCAGATTTTTTCCAAAGTGACATTTCCCACGTTAGCTGTAGCACAACAGAGTTAATTGAATCATTGATCGGGTTTCCGTTCCGGTTAATCCACCGGCTGTGGCTGGTAAGCAGCCTTTGGCAAATCCAGCCTTGGCTCAAACTGATTCTGGCTCACCGGGGATTTTGTTTGTCCTGGCGATGGTTTCGCAATGCGGGGAGTGGCAATGTGAGCTTGCCACTTGTAGTGGCGATCGCACTCTAAATTCCATCACCTCTGCTTGCCTATGATTTAATATATATAAAAGGCAAAGTTGTGAATGTATCTGTTCAAAACGTTTAGCGTACTTCCCGACATGCAACAAACTTTAAATTTGCCATGTGGGTACTTTCCAGACTGTACACCATGCAAAAATTATAAAAATACACTTTTGGTTTTTTTTGGGGGGGGCGGGAGCTCAATAATGCATAGATTTTTTGCACAGCAAGTGAGCTTTGACATCAAATCTGTCATGTGACCCGCGCATGTGGAAGCGTAACGCATTGTAGTGTAGTGGTTAGCGCTACGCCGCGCTACGAACCCGGCGACCCGAGTTCGATTCCCGCTCATGGCCACCACCGGTGACGATTATTTCAACCGCTCCTGGGCCTCCCCTAGGTCGACTCAGCCTCAAACGAGTAACTGCTGTGGTGTGTGAACATCGCCACTGGGGAGACAAAGGCGGCCGGGCGTGGTGGATCCAAGTCCCGAGCGAAGCCGGGTAGTACAGCTAGTAATTTAATAAAAGAGGGCTGCAAAGTTGGGCTCAAGATGGACATTGATCGAAATAAAAGTCACCATATCTCACGGGTTGGATGGACAAATGGGAATAGCAGTCAGAAGGACACAAACTAGAAAACACAACTGTTGCAGGTGGACCGAGATGAAAATGAAGAAGTAAAGAGGTGGACGAGCACATGCAGCAGTGCCTTGAAAGGCTCGACTAGACAGAGAGATGGATGACCGCTTTGAGGGAGGCCTTATCATGCAGTTGATTGAACATGGCCTGATTGTGACGTTGACGACGCTTGCCAAGGACACGTTGGCACAAGGATAAACACCAACCCGCCACGCTTCTTTTGTTTGCCATACTGTATTTCCCTAGTTGTGTAGTTAATTAATCCATTAATTTGCAAACACGAAAGCGGCTAATTACCTTTAATGGATTATTTTTTTAATCGTTGGGGCCGTGTGCTTGCCTGTAATTGACAACAGCATTAAGTTAGCTCCTTGCTCCCCAGTTGCTTTCAACACGTGTTCATTAATTTTGCAATTAAGATCATTACATCTTAATTAACTACCTCGCCTGGTGTACAGGTGGTTGTGGGTTCGATCCCAACCCTGATGCATGTGCGTATGGAGTTTGCATGTTCTCTCCGTGGTCACGTGGATTTTTCTCCGGGTTCTCCGGTTTTTTCCTCCACATTTGTAAACGAATTTAGAGTATTTGGCTGCTATAAATGTCCACGTGATGATAAGGCCACTTTGTTGAGCTATCGTTTGTGGCCAGGTCGCTTCTGAAAAGAGCTATATAGCTCAGTGAGCTTAACTTGGTAAATAAAATCATTTATATAATGGGACCTCCTTTGCCAGTACCAAAACATGAGAATAGGTTTTCCCCTTTTTTCTGGCAACAAAACAGGTGTTAAGATGTTAAAACACCAAACTGAAACCTTTTGCAAGGAATCATGTGTGCATTAACCACTTGTGGTCAAAATGCAAACAAAAAACATACTCTGATAATATGATGCATTGTCTTTGAAACTGATTGTTCACACCAGAGACATCAACTCGTAGCCACACTTGAGAACCCGGTTTCTATCACTGGTAGCCAAAGCACAGTTCTGGCTCGGTGCTCTGACCTCTGACCCACCCGTCAACCACAGTACATCGACTGTTTATTTCACGCACGAACTCAGTTTGTGTCCACCGCTCGTTTTCACGTACGGGCCAAGTAACTGCTCCAATATGAACGATTTGGAACCGGTGCAGGGTATGTTTTATTGTATTATCGATCTTTTTTTCTGGGAACGCGCAGATTAACCGAGCATGCTAAACGGCACGCGAGCACGTGCGTGTGTGTGCTTTGGCAGCGAAACTTCCGTTGATGGTTACATATTAAAACGTGCTCATTTCTCGTCAAATAGCGAGCGTTGAAGGGCAGGGCCACGTTATCTCGGTTGTTCCCATGGAAGCCTCCGTAGCCCCAGCGATGGTAATTACCGTCATACCGGCACGTCAGCCTCCCCCCCCTCCCCCCTGCGGGAGTGTGATGTGACTCTCAGCTTGCAGCTTAGCTGACTCGAGCCAGGAGGCTTAACTCTTAATTAACTCTGCTCCTTCGTGCACAGCCTCATATATGGGCCCTGCTCACTTCAAGCGATATCTCGTTCTGCAGCCTGAATGAATAAAGTAGTCAAACTCCCGATTGTACAGGTTAGGAGGGGAGAGAGAAGATAGCGGCCCATGTTAAATAGAAACACGGACAATGCAAGACACGTGAATTAGGCTTTGTAAATGTATTCTCCGTATACCACTGCGTAGGTTATTGGGAGTCGCGCTGTCGAGTTCTCCGTGATGCGTTGTTTGGGCCGCACCGAATGTTATTTAGCATGACGGATGACGTTTCTCTCGACGCCGTGAGAGGGTAACGCAGCAGGGCTGTGTTTCACTGCTTTACCGACGCAGAGCGGGGGTGAAGGTGTGGAATGCGTCGCCTGTTGTCGTTGTTTTCTTTCTTAAAGGAGCAACAAATAGTTAAAGGAGCACACGTGTAAACGTGTTCTTATTCTTGGTTCTTTCGGTGAAGTCACGTAGAAGGGAAATGATACAATAATAAAAATAAAACAATATAATAAAATTCTCACGACGTTTCGGCCACAACGCAAGCAGCCGTCCTCAGGTGGAGAAACAGAGCTGTCGGAAAGGCAGCGTCTTAATGAACACCGCTAAGCTTGGCAGCGTCTTTTTAAGCTGGGTGGGAGGAGAAGAGAGCATTGATAAAGGAGTTTACATCTCAACAGAGGAATTTAGCATATTGATGACAAATGCAGATATGGGGTTAGTCACTCCTTGTGGAATGTGTAGGTGGTGGGGGGTCTCAAAGTCATATTATGCTGGTGTATTATGTAGGATTAGCAGTAATAAAGGGAGGGAAATTTTAATAATAAAGAACTGCATAAGCCAAACCACTGCGTATCAAGCTAGTGTATTATGTGGAAAACAAAAAAGGAGTTTCTAAAGAACTACAAATACCCTACTACCATACAATAAACCGATGTGAAAAACCTAAATATAAACTACACCAATATAATCGATGTACTCAATATACTCTCCAATAAGCTGAGCTATTAACATTAAGTAACTTGGTATATACTACACTATACAATGGATACCATATAGTAAACTGATAAAAAACTAAAATATAAACTACATCAGTATAATCAATGTACTCAATATACTTTCCAATACGCTTATCTATTCACATTAAGTAACTGGGTATACACTACACTATATAATGACTACCATATAGTGAACCGATAAAAAACTAAGATATAAATTACATCAATATACTCAATATACTCTCCAATAAGCTGAGTTTACATATCAGCAGAGGAATTTAGCATATTGACGCTAAGCAACTGCAACTACCCTACTACTAACAATAAGTCATTATACATTACAATTTTACGTCGCAAAAAACATATAATATGCCTCCAACTAAACTTTTTTTTACATCACAACTATACCCTGTCATATACAATGCCATAGACAAACCCCAACATTGAATTATACACTGCGTTACTATACACTACCCTATACCTTAGACTATACATTGTAATATTACACTATTTATTATTCTACAAACCCTACTGTATACCACACTGCTGTATATTCATTATACAATTACGATACTATATATTACCTTATATGTTATATTAAACATTATACTATTTTTCTATTTATTATTATACAATCTGCTATACACCATATCATTGACCGTGAAAGGTACTAAGAGGAAGCAAAAGATACGTAATGGGAGAGTGGTAGCAGGAAACTTGTAGCGGAGCAAAGACTCCGATCCGTGAGGAGAATGCAAAAGATTTCTAGTCAATGCCAGCGAATGGGCTGCGGTCTGAAAGTCACCGTAAACGTGAACACAATCACTCAGGACCCAAATGGTTTATCACGTCCTTCCAATGATTGATGAGCCAGAATCCATCTTCTCGGTTGAAATTGTCTCTGTGTTTGTATATGTGGATGGCCTCATGAACGAATCTCTCATGGTAGCCGGATGTCTTGCAGAGAACCTCCGTCTTGGAGAAGTCAATGTCATGTGAGCCTACTGAATTATAACAGTGATCTGCCACGGCTGAGGTGTTCGTCCTACCGTGTTTCAGGTCTGCTTTATGTTCACAGATGCGGTCCGAGACATATCGTTTGGTTTCTCCAATGTAACTGCTACCACAGAGGCAACTTAGTTTGTAGACGTGTATTATTAAACATGTATTATTTTTTTGTAAGCACGATTCAACCACAACCAATATAATGCAATGGATAATTGTGTAACTATCAGGATTTCTTATCCTGGTCATAATTGTTATAGTTGTCGTCATCATTATCACAAATGTCAACAACGCTCGGTGATTTTCTTGTTGCTGAGTTGTGAATTTACTGCATGGACACACGTTGACCGATCACTGAGATGAGCAATTTTGGAATGGCACTCCATATAACTCGAGCACACGATCTTGGCAATTCGACCTTAGAGCTCTGGCTTCTGAGCCTCTGGACCATCTCCGTATGTGTACATCTGCATGTGCCCCTGCGTGTCTGTGTGTGTGGGAAGAATTTGTGTAGCAGTCAGCGCACTGCCGATTACGAACCCAGGGACCTTAGTTCAATTCCTGGCCACGGCAAATGTCAGTGCCGAGTGGTATATGAACCAGGCCTTAGCCCCCTCCCCCTTGGTCAACTAGGCCTAATATTAACCCTTTCCCATTCCGAGACATCTGCAAGTCGCAGGGTGGATGTCCCGTTCACCGCTGAATCTCGGAACGCGGAAGCGGCTCAGCATTAATTTTATTTAAAGAGGCGTAGTCGCGCCGTTGTTTTTAAACGCATTGTACTCACCGCAGAGAGCCGTGGCGACAAGACCGTGCTCTATTATAGCTGGCGCCAAACTGTGCCACACTCAGGCATGGCCTTGTGGGAGCCTCGGTACGTTTTCTTCTGATTCCAAAAAACTGATGACGTACGTCATCGGAATGGAAAAGGGTTCATGCCTGGCTCGGTGTTTAAAAATCGGCACAGAAGAGACGGCCGGGCGTGGTGCTGGACTCCCCACCCCCTTTGTCCGTCGTCGTGCCGTTCTTCACCGGCGGTCGTTAACAGCGCTTGCCCGAATGGCCTGCGAAACGCTTCACGGGGGAGGTGGATCCTTTGTTTTTGCCTCTGCGTCTGCGCGTGTCCAACGTGCAGGTGAAAGCTTCCCGCCACAACACCATCGGCGTGGTGGGCGGCCTCGCGCACATGATCAGGGAGGGCGGCGTCCGCTCGCTGTGGCGCGGGAACGGTGTCAACGTGATCAAGATCGCCCCGGAGACGGCCATCAAGTTCATGGCGTACGAGCAGGTGCGCTCGGAGCTCCTCATCAGCGCTATATGGAACACGCAAGCGGCCCGGCATTAATTTTGTTTCAAGAGGCATATCGCCATTGATGTTATAGACATTGTACTCGCCGCAGAGAACTGTAGAGACACGACCGCACTCTGTGATAGCTGACGCCTTGTGGGAGCCTCCGATTCGCACCGTACGTAGCCAACCGTGCAAATCGGTGGTGCGGGTTATGGACAACTAACTATGGGTTTCTCTGTGAGTCTATGGGTCTCTGTGTGAGTCTATGGGTCTCTTTGTGAGCCTATGTATGTACGGTGCGGGGGGAGAAGGACAACAAACGATACACACAAAAAAGCAATTCTAAAGAAATTCGTATACAATGGAGATTTAAAAGTGCATAGCTCCAGTGGCTTTCTAATAACGTTGCCGAGATATCGATGGCTGTTGAGGAATGATTAATCACGAGTTTTGCCTGCGCCAGAGAAACGCCCTGCCGAGTCCCAAGACTCGTTTTCTGCGGGCGACCACACCTTCAGAATAAGATAACGGCATCAGAAATCCAGACATAGCTAGAGTCGGTATTAGCACAGCTCTGATATAAGAAACGCATGCCGACACCGGTGGAGAGAGAAGGGCAACTTCTGATACAAGTGCCAGACTAGCACAGCTTGCCTTGCTCCCAAATGGTGTTCTTTGTATTCAGCTTCTTGTGTAGTTGATTGAGTTTGCGTAATACAGTTGATCATCGATTATCCGGCTCGCGATTATCCAGCTTCCAACATTATCTGGCGGTCCCGGCTTGATCCGGCGAAACTGGAAAACAAAACCCACTCCAAAGGTTGTAGCCAGTCTGGTTATCAGCAGCATGTGCGTGACAAAATAAGTAATATTTTAAAATGCTTTTTTTAAAAACACCCTTTAATGAAATGTACCGTACTAGTAATGGCAGAACTCCACGACTCCAGAAAGTGGTCCCGAGGCTTGTCACAACGTAAGGGGACCGTGGTGATTTACAGCCAACGTCAGTTGAGCGTGGACAATTAGACCCAAGCTGAAACATAACATATAAAAAATAATGTTTACAAATGCGTTTTTTATTTTTATGATAGATTATAGTATTGTCATCAGTATGACATAAGTATACCAAGTTTGCAGTCGATACCACATTGGGAAGTGGGTTACAATTGAGTTACAAGATTTGAGGATACAACAACAACGACAACAACAGACAGAGTTAAATAAAGCGTGTAAAAAAATTGCCATGATTGATTTCAGTGTCAAATATTATACACAGTACATTATACGCTACATACAACGTAAACAATGAAAATGCTGCACGTATATACGTCACCCCATGCAGTCTTCGAGATTGGAGTGATATGTGATATATGGGACAGTAAATACGTGTTAAAAAGGATAGTTATTGTTGTCTTTGAATGTTTATTTATGCCAATTCCACATAGTAAACAATATAACAACAACAATGTGAAAATAAGCTATTTAAAATAATGATTATTTAGTGGTTATCCGGCGTTTTTTAAAATCCAGCACCCCCCCCTCCCCCCGAGGCCGCCGGATAATCGATGATCCCCTGTATCGAAACACAAACAAATATCTTCTGACGATGGTGCCCTGCGCTACAATGCTCGTAGAGTTTCAGTCCCAGCCACAGCTCAAGGGACTGGTGAGCGGTATATGAGCCAGTCCTCTTACTCGCCCACAAAGACTGGCGTGGTGAAGTATGGTCGCACGGACCCCAATGACTGATAGAGCATGGGGAGGCCTTCATTCAGCAGTGCGTTGACAAAGGGCTGTAGATTATTATTCTTATTAGTCATTAAGAAAGAAAAATACCGGAATAATACATTTATAAACAGAGATCTGGTGATGTCTGCTCACTGATAGGTGGATTATAAATGTGTTAAGTTGATGCTACATCCATGTGCATTTTCTCAATTGAAAGCTAATTTCTTTAGAACTGCTTTTTGTGTTTAGTTTTGGCTATGTACAGTGCGAAAGAAGTTGAGCGTACATACATTTGAACGAGTCATAGAGACTTGTTAGAATGACCCTGCTTGAGATGATTGGTGACTTCCGATGAAATTATTGACATTTTAGATTATAATTTCCTTCATTCAATAACAATTCAAATGTTTAATGTGCATTCCATCCTCGGATCCCAATGCGCAATGAATAAAAAAGCAGGAAACTAAAACAGAACCAGGGCAACCGACGAAACTAAAGAGGGAAGGCCACTTTAAAGAGGTGCGTTTTCAAAGCAGACTCAAATATATCTGCCGACTCCATTTGTCTGATTTTAAGTGGCAAGGCATTCCATAGTCTGGGTGCCATGCTAACAAAGCCCTATCACCAAAAGAGCGCGACCTAGACCTTAAGATCTTGATGGAATCTATAAATGTGTAATGATTGACTTCCGGGACACTTCGTGTAGAGGGTACTTCTTATTTTTATTCGTATACGGGCACAACACAGGACAACATTATCTCTCACTCTGAGTACAACACTTGATGTTAGCGTCTCTACGGGCTACACACACACGGCCGATCACTCGGCACGGTTCCACCGTCCGCACTCGGCCACGCCGCTGGCCGGCGATGTGTATTTTGACTTGCCTGCACTGCCCTCTGCTGACAACTTAGCCCCCCGCAGCAGCCTACGACACCCGTAGGCCGCTAATGTGGTTACCCATCCAAGCACCACGCAGGCTCAAAACAAACCCCTTCCTGCCCAGCTTCTAAGATCTGACGAGAGGCGGGAAGATTCCGGGCGACTTCGTCATTAGTCAAGCGAGTTACGTTTCGTTGAGCGATCTAATGGGACCCCCCCCCACCTCGCCTGCCCCATGATGTCTCGCTCCTCCCACCGCCCCACCGCCCCACGTGATCCGCTCCTTCGCTTTGTTCGCCCCCTGCAGATCAAGAAGCTGATCGGGATGCGGCAGGAGCAGATCGGCGTGCAGGAGCGGCTGGTGGCCGGCTCGCTCGCTGGCGCCACGGCGCAGACGGTCATCTACCCCATGGAGGTGCGAGCGGCCGCTGCTTGGGTATCGGAATCTTCATTGGGACCGGAGGAGGAATCCGATTGAGCCATGGAGCTCTTTTTTTGCAGATGTCCAGCATGCCCGTGTAGCCCAGGAGACACAGATGTCCAGCATGCCCGTGTAGCCCAGCAGACACAGATGTCCAGCATGCCCGTGTAGCCCAGCAGACACAGATGTCCAGCATGCCCATGTAGCCCAGGAGACACAGATGTCCAGCATGCCCGTGTAGCCCAGCAGACACAGATGTCCAGCATGCCCGGGTAGCCCAGCAGACACAGATGTCCAGCATGCTCGTGTAGCCCAGCAGACACAGATGTCCAGCATGCCCGGGTAGCCCAGCAGACACAGATGTCCAGCATGCCCGTGTAGCCCAGCAGACACAGATGTCCAGCATGCCCGTGTAGCCCAGCAGACACAGATGTCCAGCATGCCCGTGTAGCCCAGCAGACACAGATGTCCAGCATGCCCGTGTAGCCCAGGAGACACAGATGTCCAGCATGCCCGTGTAGCCCAGGAGACACAGATGTCCAGCATGCCCGTGTAGCCCAGGAGACACAGATGTCCAGCATGCCCGTGTAGCCCAGAAGACACAGATGTCCAGCATGCCCGTGTAGCCCAGGAGACACAGATGTCCAGCATGCCCGTGTAGCCCAGGAGACACAGATGTCCAGCATGCCCGTGTAGCCCAACAGACACAGATGTCCAGCATGCCCGTGTAGCCCAGCAGACACAGATGTCCAGCATGCCCGGGTAGCCCAGAAGACACAGATGTCCGGCATGCCCGTGTAGCCCAGCAGACACAGATGTCCAGCATGCCTGTGTAGCCCAGAAGACACAGATGTCCAGCATGCCCGTGTAGCCCAGAAGACACAGATGTCCAGCATGCCCGTGTAGCCCAGGAGACACAGATGTCCAGCATGCCCGTGTAGCCCAACAGACACAGATGTCCAGCATGCCCGTGTAGCCCAGGAGACACAGATGTCCAGCATGCCCGTGTAGCCCAGCAGACACAGATGTCCAGCATTCCCGTGTAGCCCAGGAGACACAGATGTCCAGCATGCCCGGATAGCCCAGCAGACACAGAATCCCCACCAGGAGGTGTCCCGTTCAATACGTAGAGACCAGGGTTTTTTTGTTTTGTTTTACCTGGTGACCCCACCACCTGTCGCCACCTGACCCGCTGAGACTCGCTCGTATGCCTTTTGTGCTGGGAAATCCGTACTGGACCAGCGCGGAGCCCTGAAATGATGAGCACATGGTGACGTCCTTGCGTGAGCCGCACGCACGCGTGTCCACTGGTTCATAGCGGTCGCGTATACAGACTTTGTGCGACGTTGTAACGTCTGCACATGTGACACTGTGATGTTGAGACCTTGCGTGCTGCATGACGTATGTTTGTATGTATTTTGAACTTCTTTCGCACCGTACGTAGCCAACCGTGCTATTCGGAGCTCCTAATGACGTCACGTAGTCCAGCAGCACACGATAGTTTTATTATGTGGGCCGTTGGGAGTTGAAGAACCGTCCAAAAAGGCAGACCTGCAATTGCTTGCTCCCTTGACTGCTGGCAGAATGGTCTCCAGTAGAGGTAGCTCTAGCGATCCCATCTAGAGAATATTTGGCCAACTTTCTTATGAAACGTCTCGGATGACCTGGGAGTATCAACACTTCACTTGGGAGTACCCACGTGGCGAGATGTCAACTCCCTCGCCTGGTATGCAGGAGGTCGTGGGTTCGATCCCGACCCTGACAACCTGTATATTTGGAGTTTGCATGTTCTCTCTCCCCGTGGTCACATTAATTCTTCTTCGGCTCCTCTGGTTTTCCACTCCACGTTTATAAACAAGCGTTTCGAGGAGTTGGCTGCCGTAAATTTCCACGTGACAAGACACTTCGTCGAGCTGTCGTTTGTGGCCAGGTGGCTTCTGAAAAAGAGCTACGTAGCTCAGTGGGCCTGACCTGGTAAAAAAAACAACAAAGTTTAGTTTTCACGACTGCACAACACGTGACCTGCCAATCATAGACTCACTGCTCTACGTATTCATAGAGTGTGTGTGTCTGTGTTTTTTGGACCGTCGACCCAAGGTGGTGAAGACGAGACTGGCGCTGGGCAAGACGGGGCAGTACAGCAGCATGGTCGACTGCGCTCGCAAAATCGCGAAACGCGAGGGCCTGCGGGCATTCTTCAAGGGCTACTTGCCCAACGTGCTTGGGATCATCCCCTATGCGGGCATCGACTTGGCCACCTATGAGGTGAGGAAACCCATGGGCGCTGTTTAGTGTACGCAGGGCGTTGATGCGCTTGTGTGTGCCAGTCATCTCGGTCAGTTAACCCGTGCCACCTCGGTTTCTTCCTGGGATCTGTCGGCGAGCCTTCGACGCTTCACGTGACCTAAGAGCCCATCTAACCTGCACGGTGACGTCACCACCACTTCCGTGGCGAATGGCGGTTGTTGTTTTCGGTGTATACCAGGGATGTCCTGAACATCGTGATTACCTACAAAGTGGACTATGGATGTGAAATGAGAAGTTCTTTGTGTGACCATCTGTGGGGATACGATGCAGTGGACAAAGAATCGTGAAGTGTTTTAATCAAGCGGTCATGCACTATCTTAAAATATGGCTTGTAAACTTGATTCCAATTCACCGTTGATACGAAGGCAGCATTGTTTGGAATGTAACGAATGCTGCTTCATGGCTGCAGTTATGGGACAAAATTTAATTAATATAAGTTTGACATGGACAGATAACAAACATTTTTCCCTGTGGTCATAGGCTTGTTGTGTTTCAGGAATGTGCTGTCATTGTTACCAGAAGGACGTCACCCATCAGTGGATTGACAAAGGGCTGTACTTGTTCATTTAGTGCAGTGGTAAACATTTTCCCTCACAGCAAGAAGTCCCTGGGTTGGATCTCTGACACGGGCACCCGTCTCTGTGTGGAGTTTCTATGCTCTCCCCCTGCTATGCATGGTTGACTGGTTTCTTCCAATAACAAAAAAAACATGAAGTGTGATTGTGTTGGTGAAACATCCCAATGCAGCACCCTCCTGACAGAGTCAATTTACAGACTCTCTGTAGCTTTTCTGGGTAAATAAGCAAATCTTTATATCATTAACATTTGTGTGCCTGAATTACCTAACCAAACTGAGGGCCCCCGTAACCCTTTCCATTCCAATGATGTACGTGTACGTCGTCTGAACTCAATCGGAAGAAAAAATAAAATAATATAAATTCATCAGTACCAGGCCATGTTCTCACAAGGCCATGCAGGATGGCGTGTGGCACAGTTTGGTGGCAGCTATCGTAGAGTGCGGTCGTGTCGCTACAGTTCTCTGCGGTGAGTACAGTGTCTTTAAAAACAACGGCGCGCTGTGCTCCTCTAATTAAAATTAACGGCGAGCCGCTTGCGCTTTCCGAGATTCAGCGGTGAACGGGACACCCACCCTGCAACATGCAGACCTTTCGGAACGGGAAAGGATTAATTGACCATCTTGCCAGCTTGTTATTGTCTTGTTTTTTTTTGCTCTTCGGCAAAAACCTACGCGTCTGCGTGTAACGCTTTGACAATGGCCCTTCCCTCCGCCGTCGGCAGACGCTGAAGAACTGGTGGCTCCAGAAGCACGGCGCCGAGGGGGCGAACCCGGGCATCGCCGTGCTGCTCTGCTGCGCCACCACCTCCAGCACGTGCGGGCAGCTCGCCAGCTACCCGCTCGCGCTCGTGCGCACGCGCATGCAGGCCGCGGGTGAGCTCCGCGCGGCACCGCACACGCACGCGCGCCGTCTCATGTTGTACACGCTGCCGGCACGCGCTTTGGTTCAGCGGGTAGAGCGTGGGGTGGGAGCCATAGGTTTGCTATTCCTCCTCCATTGAAGGAGCGCAGCCTGCAGTATGTATGCTGAACTTCTTTCGTACCGTACGTAGCGAACCGTGATAATTGGAGGTGCGGGGGAAGGACAGCAAACTAAACACAAAACGCAGTTCCAACGAATTGAGTTTTCAATCTAGATGATTTCAAAGCGCATAGCTCCAGTGGCTTCCTAATATCGGAAGGAAGAGCGTTCCAGATGGCTGGAGAAGCGCATCTGGAAGCGTGCGATGCAGTGACCGTCTTTATTTGATGGTCATGCAAAAGCGTTTGATGGCTAGCCAAAATGATAACGGTTCTGTGCTGATACTCACTTGTATGGCGTGTAGGGGGCAGTAGAGTAAAACAGATTGCTGTGATCTTTACAGTATCTTTTGAACACACGTGTGTGTGTGTGTGTATTCCGAGTGGGAGCCTCCTCAAAATGGGTCTTGATCCTACCGTGACACTTTAAGTGGGTAAAATTGTATTATTATTATAAATAATATCCCATTAATAACAACTTGCCCTTCCCACGATTAGTCCACAGCTGTCTGGTTGGCACTGTGGATAGAGTGGGGTTTGACTCACACTCTGAAAGTTCTGAGTTTAGGTTTAGTCAGGGATTTGACAAGGCCCTTAGTTTATCTGGCGTTGAAAAAGCTGACCGCCACTGTGTAGGAAGTCAACACTGCTGGCCCATGCCATGACCATGTAGAATTTCTACCGCTGGCTGAGGGTCACCGATGGAGTCTCGTGCCACTGTAATGCCCCTTGGAGCGGGGAGACATTTTGGCGTGACTTACCTCAGGGTTGGGCAACCTACGGGTCAAGGGCCTCGCACACGGCCCCTGACTTAACTTCATATTGTCCACAGCCACATAAATTCTGCCACTTCAAAGCAGACACGAACGATATTTATGCATCACTGCAAGCGTCTGAGCCACGCTAATGGGACACCAGCGTGAAATGTTTTTGATCTAGCAATGTCGTGTTTAAAATTTTAGTCCTTGCGTTTCGATCAAAGTTCATGATTTAAACATCATCTTTGGCTCTCGGTAAGGAAACAGGTACAGACTAAAACTAAACGGTTAAAACTAAACATTTTTTTATTTTACAAGATAAGTCCCACTGAGTGGTATAGCTGTTTTTCAGAAGCGACCTGGACACAAATGTTAGCTCAACGAAGTGGCTTATCACGTTGAAATGTATAGCAGCCAAATACTCTGGACACATGTTTCTAAATATGGAGAGAAATACCGGAAGACCCGGAGAAAATCAATGCGACCACTGGGGGAAAATGCAAACTCCAAATATACAGGCATCAGGGGATCAAACCCATAACGTCCTGTATACGAGGCGAGGGAGTTAACATCTCGCCACCATGGTGCCCTAAGAGTGAGTTGAGCGAGTGTGGGGTTCCTGCGTAACGTCGCATCTCTTGCGTTCCCCAGCGAGCATTGGGGGCCCTGGAGCGTCGCAGCCCGGCATGGTGGGGCTCATGCGCTCCATCGTGCAGCAGGACGGGCTGCTGGGCCTGTACCGTGGCATCGCGCCCAACTTCATGAAGGTCATCCCTGCCGTGGGCATCAGCTACGTCGTTTACGAGAACCTCAAAGGGGCGCTCGGCGTGACGTCGCGGTGACCCCGGCGACCCTTCAAGCGGAACAACGGCAAAACAAACGTAAACTCTGAACGACACTGGCGACTTCCCGGAGATGATGATGATGATGATGAAACTGCACTCCCCCGCCTCCCCCCACCCCCGCCTACCAGTGGGGGTTGGCGGTCAAACTAAAGGAAGCTGCTCGGCAATAAACATCGCCGGCATGCACCAGAGTCGCTGTTTAGAGTCGCGCACGCCATGGGATGGTTTTGCTGAATTTCCACCACCGGCTTAGGGACACCGGCACGGCTGAGCATCGCCGCACCCTTGTTAGAACAGGGCGTCTCCGTGACGTGACTCGTTGAATAGCACCCCGCGATTAGATCGCGAAGGCGTATGTTGCCATGCGGTGGACGTAACGGTTACGCGTGAGGCTCTGATTGTGGCTGCGTCAGACGCAAGGGGACTTGCGTGTGCTTCGGCGAATCCTACAGCAGCTCGCAGAGACTTTTAATCGTGAGCGGTTAGCACCGTGAGCGCTGGCTTGGTTTGGAATTCAACACAGCAGCATGACAGCTGGTGTAAAACTGTTTATGAGTTCTGAGCTTGGGTTAATGATTTAGGCACGAAATGTTTTGCATGCAGGTCAGGTTCATGTTGCCCCCCTCCCGCCTTATGATTATATTTAAAAGCATAAAACATTTCCAGCATCTAGAAAGTTCGCAAGCATATATATTGCAAATGACGCTTTCGGCATCACGTCACGTGACGAAGAATCTATTCGAATGTCTCGCAGAGCAGTGCGCCGGAGCGGTTGCAGAAGAGCTATGGTTCTCACGGGAATTCTCGCAAAGAAAATCCGTCAAGTGACCTTGTAAACCTTTACCCAGTAGGGCTTGCACTCCTCCATACTGTGAGCTAGTCTCATGGCGGTCCAACCAATATACTCATTTATGAATGAGACCGTTATACTTTGAGAACGTCGTTTGATCACTGTTGGCTGCACCCAATTCTGACCTATGATCTCCTCGGTGCGAGCTCGGAGCTAATTCGTCAGCGCCCTGACCTCTGAGCCACCCGACCAGTGCCATTTTAGTTTTTGCTACAAATAAAATTATTTTCTCCGTTTAGTTTAATGCCACGATGTCACCGAGGTGCAACGGGCTTGCGATCCAGAGGTTGCCCAATCGATCTCCCGGCGCGGCAGGTTCCTTGAATTCCCCCCGCATCTGTCCTCCCAGTAGTATACGTGGGCATGTGCACCAGATCACGTGTGGTGGGGTAGAGTGTGGGTACTCCCACCCCTTTCGAGATGTCTGGCCAGCGTGGGAGAGTAGTGCACATTCCCTGGAGAGGGCACTCTCTCGAGCTCCCTCTCGTGGAGGCCCTTTTCACCTGGGGTGGCGTGCGCAAGCACAGTTGCATGCCTTCACCTTGACCTTTTTAGATTAATGTTCGAGCGGGCAGCAGACACCCACCGCTACCAGATGAAGCCTGTTTGGAATCGCAGACTTGTGTTCAGTCGTTACATCTTCTGTGAACGCATCTTTGAAGCACAGGCACTAACCAGATGCTTGGTGAGTTAATAAATGCGCTGACGCGTGTTAATTATTGGCACCTAATGTTCTACAACCAGCAAACTTTGATTAAGCAGAAAAAAAAAACATTGGCATGCGCTTTTTTCAATGCGTGACACTCGTCAGAGCGAATGTAACGATGTAATATAAAAGCTAATCGGAGAGCCGCCCCTAAGGTACGGAGAATCGGGGCGACTGCCCGGGGCCCAGCGCTTTGGGGAGCCCCGTACTTCAACGTCACGGTGTCAGATGCAATACTTCAGGTTTGGTTTGAAGGCGTTGGTGGGGGGGGGGGGGCACACGGTGTGAATTTCCCCGGGCCCCGCACCCCTCTATGGACAGCCCTGACTAATCATATTACATACTTATCATCAGCAGGATCAGTCCACTGCTGGATGAAGGCCTCCCCAAGCAGTCTCCGTCCCTTGCGGTTCTGCGATGTAACAAGCTACTTTGGACACGAGCTGAATTCATCGTGCCATCTCCGCGGTGGACGAGCTCTCGGATGCGTTCCCTCCCTTGGTTGCCACGCCATCGTTATTCTCGCTGTCCCTACAAGACCGTGACGTGCCTCTACCCAGGTCCTCATGGCCATGACATGTGACTACCTAGGCCCTCAAGGATGTGACGTGTCTCTACCCAGGTCCTCATGGCCATGACATGTGACTACCTAGGCCCTCGAGGATGTGATGTGTCTCTACCCAGGTCCTCATGGCCATGAAATGTCTCTATCCATGCCCACTTTTCTTAGCAGTCAGATTTATGAGGGTGCCACGGTAGAGAGATGGTGAATACATAGCTTGGTACGCAGGAGGTCGTGAGTACGATCCCAACCCTGACGCCTGGGTTGGCCATATGCCAGAGGATGTTTTTGTTTGCATGTTCACCACAGATATGCGTGGTTAATGCAGACATGATTCCTTGTAAAAGGTTTCTGTTTGGTGTTTGCACATCTTAACACCTCCTGTTTTATTTGGCAGAAAGGGTAAAACCTAGTCTTATCAAGCACTGGGAGATGACCGCTCGCAATGGAATTGAGAGACGGAGAGGGGAACACGTAGATTTGGAGAACCGACGCAGGTTAGAGACGTCACTCAAACCCATAAGAAAAACCAGTGGGGGCTTGGGCAGGACACGTCAGAATGCCGAGATGTTAACTACCTCGACTGGTATGCAGGAGGTCGTGGATCCCAACTCTGACGCCTGCTGCTGTATATTTGGAGTTTGCGCGTCTCTCTCCCCGCGATTGCGTGGATTTTTCTCCGAGGCCTCTGGTTTTTCCCGCCACAATCAAACTTTGTTGAGCTATCATTTGTGACCAGGTCGCTTCTCAAAACGTCCTATGTAGCTCAGTGGGGCTTACCTGGTAATATAAAAATAGTGTAGTTTATCTCTTTAACTTACGTTAATTATCCATGTGTTCCTCTTTCTTCTCAATGTAATTCCAAGCATGCTCCCTCCCATGATTCTCTGGGATCTTCAGCTTTTGTTCCATTTTCCGTGCGAATGTCCGTACAGTTTGTCCGACTCCATGTTTAAATTAATTATCTATAAACATACCGATTGGGTTTTCGCCATAATCATCAACCGTGATCAATCCACTGCTGGATGAAGACTTCCCTAAGCAATTGCCATTACCTCGCATCCCTCCGATGCAGAATCCAGCTCCTGCACACGACCCAATTTGGTGCTAAATGTATCGTTGCATTGCACAAACGGTGTTATATATATAAATCAGAGCAACTTTATTTCGCAACAAAGTAATCAGCGTCAAAATCAGCGGGCTTTCAATGTCTCATTTTACAACTTTTTTTGACTGTAGGTCTCATTAAAGTGTCACATTACTGTGAGGATACATTTCTAAATGTAATACTCCGCATCTTTCAGACCAGTCATAAAGCAACTTTGTCAGTAACATCAATTACGCTTGCAGTGTAGGCGATATCAATGTGTAAAATCTCATATTGCTCATTTGTTCTTTTGTTCAGGATACTCGCTCTAAAATTCGGATAGTATTTAACTGGTTACTATTAAACACATGGTATTCCCGCACATTAGCGTAGTTCGCTGTTGTAAGTTCAATCGGCTTCACTATCATCATCATGATCGTTCGCCGTGATCGCTCCACTGCTGGATGAAGACCTCTCCAAGTCGTCGCCATCCCTCGCAGCTCGACGGTGCAACAATCAACCGAGCAGCTGCACACGAGCCGATTTCATCGCTCCATCTCCTCGGTGGACGTCCCATTCCTTGGCCGCCACCCCGTCGTTATTCTTGACCGTCGGCCTTCGTCCCTTCTAGCCCTGACTGAACAAAAACAACTATAAACTGTTTTTATTGTACCAGGTAAGGCCCGCTGAGCTACGTAGCTCTTTTTCAGAAACGACCTGGCCAGAAATGATGGAAAAATGAAAATAATAATGAAAATAATACAATGAAAATAACTAAATTATTTTCATTATTTTTTATTTTTCATCTACGTGACTTTTACCGAAAGAACCAAAGAGTATGGATCCTTGCAGTCACGAAAACTTCAAATCTAGAATAGAAATGATAGCTCAACGACGTGAGCTTATCACGTTTTCAGTTTCATTTATTTGGTATAGAACTGTGAGCCATTCGGCTCTTGAAACGTGGAAAGTCACAGCAGCCAAATAACGCATGCTTCTAAATGTGGAGGGAAAAACCGGAGGACCCGGAGAAAAATCCACGCAACCACGAGGAGAGACACGCAAACTCCAAATATACAGCAGCAGGCGTCAGAGTTGGGGTCCACGACCTCCTGCATACCAGTCGAGGTAGTTAACATCTCGGCATTCTGACGTGTCCTGCCCAAGCCCCCACTGGTTTTTCTTATGGGTTTGAGTGACGTCTCTAACCTGCGTCGGTTCTCCAAATCTACGTGTTCCCCTCTCCGTCTCTCAATTCAATTGCGAGCGGTCATCTCCCCGTGCTTGATAAGACTAGGTTTTACAATTTCTGCCAAATAAAACAGAAGGTGTTAAGATGTTCAAACACCAAACAGAAACCTTTTACAAGGAATCATGTCTGCATTAACCACACATTTGTGGTGAACGTGCAAATAAAAACATCCTCTGGCATATGGCATTGTCTTTGAAACTGGTCCACACCAGAGACAGCCTTTAGGGCCTAGTCTCATCAATGTCAGACCAGAGAATGCCAAAATGCGAACAGTACAAAGACAATGCACTATCAGAGCATTGATAGCTCGCGGTGAGCAGCAGTTTCAAAGCCAATGCAAGTATATTATCATCAGAGCATGTGTTTGCATGTTCACCACAAGTACGCGTGGTTAATGCAGACTTGACTCCTTGCAAAAAGTTTTCTGTTTGGTGATCGAACATCTTAACGCCTGCTTTATTAACCAGAAAATGTAAACGCCTATTCTTATACTTTGATACTGCCAAGACAGGCCCCACATCGCCCCACGCTTCTCTGCGTACTTTTCAGTTTCCACGTTTGGCTCGGTGACTGTTACTCGCTGATGTAACATTTTCATCGCTTTGTACAACAAAACCGTGGTGGGGTTATCGAGCGCATTGTAGCAGTGTGCGTTCTGCTAAAACTCGATATTGGTAGAAACGTAATCTTCGGTCGAAATTAACTTATGGAATATTTGTGATTTTATTGTATACTGTGTATTGTTTTCAAGCGTGTAACCGCGCGTATATATTTAGCATGCACGTTTGATTGCACAAATATATGTAATTTGTACATGACTGAAGACGGATTGTATGCAAGTTACTATTTTATATCGTGACCTCAATTAGCCATGCCTGGTGATGCTGCATGAAACCCCCATGCTTAATCATTCCACTCTATGGTATGAAATTTGTTACCAATATATATGATACATAATTGCCGTCAGTGGTGGAGACAAATGGGAGTCGGATACTTAAACTAATTGCCAGGCAGAGCTATAGTAAACGCTTGGCACGGCATCTGCTGGCAATGAAAGCAGAGCCATCGGCTTTTGTCGTGGGCGCGAATAACGCCGCCACCTATCTCTGTCGCAGGAAGCCTCACGGCAGATGTCTTATTGGTAAAAGAGTTTACCGGGGTATCGCATTAACAAATGCTGTTTTAACTTCTGAGTGTTTTGTCTTAATTCTTATCGGCCACTGTGGCTTACACTGTGTGAGCAAGGTCATTTGCACTGACGTGTTAACATACAAAAAGCAAAGATAGCCCTCTGCGGTTTGATTGCACTCTCTGCGCGTAATACGTGTGTTGTGGTGTGCCGTGGAGAGATTGCTCACTTGGCTGATAGTTTTGTCAAAATCTTAATCTCGGCAGCTGCTGTTTGTCCACGTGGCCCTGTCCTTTTTTGTAAAGATCTGAACAGGGTTTCGCTTGAAGCCAGCATCGGCAGCAATGAGTTTTCTGAGATGATTAAAAACAAACAAAAAAGGCTTTGACTTGGCGACAATCGCAAAAAAAAAGTGCGTACTCCCGTTTACATCCGGAGCTGGGGTAACAGGCTAACATCCAGTCCGAGCTTTCTGAAAGGCGCCAGACCAGCCGTGGCGTGAGCCACCTGCGACGTGAACAGCTCCCCAAGGCAGATTGCATTCAGTCTGATGACCACAGCTGACCTGTGCTGCAGCCAGGGCTGGTTTTGGAGGTGCATGTGCTTACTGGTGCTGGTCTGTGTACATTAAAGCACACTTCACCGCACTTGCAGCTGCTTACAGTGGGCAGGCAGGAAGCCCCAGCCCTTAGCTCGTTAATCACCCAATGTATTTAACGTGCAGTAGGTCATTCACACGTGAATGGGCGACTAATTACGCGCGGATGGGGGAGATTGCTCGAAGCGAAACGATGTGCTGTGGGGCAGCTGGCTCGGGAGTGGTGTCGTGTGCCTCGACCCTGGCTCATAGGACCGGCTCACGGGACTGCCCATAGGATCGGTTAATAAGACCGGCTCACAGGGCTGGTTCATAGGTGCCTGCTCATAGAAGCGGCTCATAGGATTGGCTCATAGGACTGCACATAGGACCGAAACATAGGACTGGCTTATAGGATTGGCTCATGGGACCGGCTCATAGGACCGGCTCATAGCATTG